GGTACTCAGATCTTTGGAATGTTCTATTGCTACCACAATGTAATCAAATTGAGAGGTAAGGGATCTCAATATCTTCTCCATGATTGTTTCTTCAGAAAGAGTTTCTCCACACGCCTTCATCTCATTAGTGATCAGAATCATTCTTGAGATGTATTCAGAGACTTTCTCATTATTCTTCATGTTGAGATTCTCATATTGCTTTCTCAAGGACTGAAGCTTCACCTTCTTCACTGATGCGTCACCACCATAACATCTAACCAGTGTGTCCCACGCAGCCTTTGCTGTCGTTGAATCTGCAATCTTCTCAAACACATTTACATCAACACATTGATGAATAAAGAATAATGCTTTCTGATCCTTCTTCCTTACTTCCTTCTGCGCGTTTTTCTGTTCATCAGTTGCATCTGCTGCTACTGGAACAAAACCATCAGTGACAAGATCCAGAACATCTTGAGCACCAAATAGTACACGCATTTGGATCATCCAACGATTCCAGTTTTTGCCATCAAATACTGGAAGTTTGGTGTTCATGTTGCCGTTTCCGTTCATCTTCTACCTTGCACAATACACTCAGATTTCTCACACAGTGTTTCCCAACCCACAGAATAAAATTCTGATCAGATTTTGTTCAAGATTCAACACGAATCTAAGAATCAAAATCAAACACACAAGACCTCACGTTCACTCGTGTTTCCCGTGTTTCCCAATGAATCTGAACCGGAGCTCTAGATACCAATTGTTGGTGCAAAGATAGAATAAATGATGAAAATAGGGAAATATTCTATTAAGAATGACGGCAGAAGAAACAGGATTAAGAGTTACAATGATTGTCACCCTATTTATAAGCTAAAACTAGGGTTACTAGAATAAGATAAATACTAAAATACCCTCTAACAAACTTATGGGCTTAAGAAAATAATATAATAAAATATGAATTATTACTAATAGTGTTTTCATCTGCTTTAGGGTGTGTTTGTTTGAAGAGAAATTATGAAGAGAGAGTTTGAAAAGAGATAAGTAGGATAGAGACACTCGTTCTCTTTGAATGTAGAGAAATAAGGGAAAGAGATCAGATTTCATGTTTTATATTGTGAGTGGTGAATGAGAACAAATTGTAATCTTTTATAAATATATGCTCAATTAAAAAACTAAACAAAAATTGAGACTAACGCTGAATTGAAAAATTGAAAACAATAATTAATTTTTTAAAAAGATTTATGAACAACCGCCACTTAACATAATTAAAATATTAATTAATTTAAAATAAAATAATATTACAACTTAATAAAGTAATGATATAATTAATGAAAAAAAATATCAATTAAAAACATTTTTTAATATTTGTTTTTCATCTTTTTATTACAAGAAATAATTTTTTGAAAAGAGTTTTTTTTTTCAAATCATAAAATTATTTAACTTCTCTCCTCTATTTCTCTTATCATACTTTCTCTTGCTTATTTCTTTATTTCCACTCTCTCTTTATAATCAAACAACCCTTAAGAATTTTGAGAAGAGGTTTGTTCCTAACGTTTGTTTAACTCTAAAACCATGTATGTTATGGCAAAGTTGTGATCTTCATATACACGTGATTCAGAGTATTTATGGTATGTTAAAAGGTTGAGATCAGCGAGTTTACGAGTTTGTATGATTAATCAAATTATAAGCATAAATTTACTTTATAGTTTTGGTTTATAAGTCAAACCACTTATGGTATGTTAAAAGGTTGAGATATGCGAGTTTAGGAGTTTGTATGATTAATCAAATTATAAGCACAAATTTACTTTATAGTTTCAGTTTATAAGTCAAACCAGTTAAAGTGAAAATCAATTTAATAATTGAAAATGAGTCAAAATCGGTTCAACATTAATTTTTCAAAAGATTTTTTATAAAATTTGTTTGTTTTTGTACTTTTAGAGAAAATAATTAATTTTTAGTGTGATTCAATAAAAATCGAATAATTTAAATGAATCAAGACAATTGTTTTTTTTTAAGAAAATTAAAATATATCTCAAATAAAAAAAATAAAATGACAGTAATGTAAAAAAAATTAACAATAAATCAATGATTTTTTTTCAATATCAACAATATTTCTTCTTCCAAAAATATTGTTGTTCTGGATTGGGCTCGGACCTGCCCATCCGTCGGGAAGGCCCAACCCAACACTATGTGGGGAAGACCCAACAAGACTCAAATTCCCCATGTCGGGCACGGAGTTACATCTGCCGGGAAGACGACTCCCGTGTCGGGCAGACCCACACGTCTTCCACACGTTCCCTACGTGCTCACCCCCGTTGGGACACGTCAACAAGCAACTACCCACCTCCGAAAGAGCTGGTCAGCCCACCTTCCAGAGATCACAGGATAGTTGATCTAGGGCGAAGACCACATGCTGGTCTTCACTACGCCACATAAGCTCTAGCAGTTACTTGGGTTGAACCTGACAATCTGGCTCAATCCAAGTGACTGTTACCCCTGCGTTGTGGTCTCACTATAAATACCCTATTTCACTAGAGTGTCAGATATTCCATTTCTACACCTATTTCTGTATTTGCTCTCTCACTCTGATCATTTACTCACTTAAGTATCGAAGTGCCTTGCAGGTACACCCCCTCCTTCTCCCTACCTCCGGTGACAGCTACCAGTCGACGACGCGTGGCAGACCAACGATCTCCTCTGATCAGGTACAATCAGTGGCGCCGTCTGTGGGAATCTTAAGCTTCCTCGTTCTTCCGAGCAGTAGAACCAAAGCTTTTGTCAACTTCACCAACTTTCGAGATCATGACCAGCCCACGCCACGACGATGCTGTCCATAATTCCGCCTTCGAGCCATTCACCAACGGTGAGGATCAGGGTGGGCCCTCTAACATCCATGACGATGACGTGAAAGACAGGCATACTGCCTCCCCTTCATCCGACGACGCAACACACCACGTCGTCCCTCGGGCAAGGAGCCTGACCGTTTTCCAGCCCGTCCCCACACTAGCAGAGGTGGACTCGACGATGAATGTCCTCTTTGCTGCCATCAACCAGACTAATTTGATGTTGTTCCAGCAGAATGAGCGTATCGGGATGTTGGAACAGGATAACTCATCTCGCTCTCCCCGGCGGAGAACCCAGCGCGAGGATTTCTGGAGCTCCTCTCCCCGTCAACGGGGCGCCGACCACAATTGGAGAGGCCCCAAACCGTTGCTTCCAAGAAGCGCGAAAAGTCACCTCCCCGGAAGGAGAGGCGTTCCCCGACCCAGAAGAGGAACAGACCTGACGCCCCCAAGTAAGAGGACGAAGGGTCGTAATCAAGTCCCTCAACACAATCCTTCTCCTTCACGCTCCATTGTCCGCAGCGACGAGGACAACCACCAGACTTCCCTTTCGCGGGAAATCATGGAGACTCCCATCCCCTACGGGATGGAGAAGCCGCCCACGTTCTCCACCTACGACGGTACGACGAACCCAGACGACCATCTGGAAGATATCGAGGCCATGCTCGATTCGGAACATCCGAGGAGCCATCAAATGCAGGCTATTCCCGACGACTCTGAGGAAGGGAGCCATGGCATGGTACAAAAGCTTGGAGCCCGAGTCCATCACGTCGTGGAAGGTGTTGAAGGATCTCTTCTCGCAATATTTCACGGTGTCCCGACGCCATCCAAAGACGGAGGCTGCCCTGGGCGCGATCATCCAAGTCCGGGGCGAATCTCTCAGGAATTACATCGAGAGATTTACGACAGAGGCAGTCCAGGTGACCACTTCAGACGACATGAAGCGTTACTTGATGGAGCAAGGGTTGTCGCGGCTCCAAATTTTACGAGGCCGTGGCAATCCACCGGCCAACCCCCCTCCTTCTCCCTACCTTCGGTGACAGCTAACAATCGACGACGTGTGATAGACCAGTGATCTCCCCTGATCAAGTACGATAAGTTACTTTTTAATATCAATTGTTTTTTATTACTTAAATATTCAAGGTTTAACATTTTTATCTATATTTAAATTTTATATCGGCAATGTTACTGCACCGTCAATTATATTAAAAAAATTTCCCACATCACATACCTCACACACTTGCATTATCAATAAATTTTAATTTAGTAAATTGAAAATTCAATTTATTTTAAAGTGTACATTTTTCAATCTAATGATTATACTCTCCTTTTTTTATTAATGTTTTAAACTAAATACATATGTATCAGTATTACAAAGATGGTTGGATTTATTTAAAAAAAAATTGGTGAAATGATAATTTTTTAAGATAAAGTGTTAGTTTTATATACTTTTAAAAATGAAATAAATGTCTATTTTTAATGATAAGTTAAAGATCAATATTTTGGTAAAAAATATTAATAAATTTAAATTTACTAAGTAACTTATTTTAAAAATAAATAAAAAGTAAAATATGTACTGTTTTTATTTTTTATCTTTTTGATATTTTTTTATTTATGAATTTCTCTTTTATGGAATTAATTTAATTTTAATAAAATAAGTTTGTAAGTTTATATACTAGTGTGGTGGTGTTACAAATTATAGACATGGAAATTGAGAACTAAAGTGTGAATCGTTGAAAATGAGAAAGAAGAATAATAGATTAAAGCAACATGTTAGTTAAGAAATGTTGTTAGGCCTAAGAAATGTGGTTGGACTTAACTCAACCTAATAAAATCAGTTGATAGAATGAGGATTACCCCACTTATAAACATATGTTTGTGCCATATATTATCCGATATGAAACTCTTAACAGGTTGCAATAAAAATTACCGTATAAGTGATCAATGAAGAAATTTTCATTGATAAAAATCTTCAATAGCCTTAAACTTAAATTGGTGTGTCAGTATGTTTGGTATATCAGCCTTGAAAACAATAGTTCCTCCATTGAAGACAAAAAGGAAACATATAAAGTACTAATAATATCCCTATTTTTGCATTCATCATAAAAGTACTAATAATTAAGTTTAGTAACAACACAAAAAGGAAACATATAATCTAAGTGCAAACCACAACACTAAACCTTACATCCAAACACTAAAAACAGAACCTAAAACCATTACAAACAAACCCCATTTCTGAATAGACATTTGAATGGAAGAAGATGAAGGAGGAGCAGTGTCACACAGGTTATATCCATACCATGTATCTTTAGGAATGGAGGTGTTAAAAGTAAATGTAACAGGATCTGAATTGTATCCATAGATTTTCACAGTTTCTGGTTTCCAACCATAGTTATCTGATGAACCTGATCTATAGAGATACACTGAACAAATTGGTGATGCACATGGACCATCTATTTGAAATGAATCTGATGCACATTGCTCAAATGTTCTTGATAGTGAATCGTCTAGATTTGCTGCATATACCTGTAAAATATTTTTTCGTATATTTTAAAAATATTTTACATAATTTATTTAATCATGTAACAAAGGGGTTTTGGCTCAGAGCTCTTTCTTAGCACCTCTTGTTTCCAACTAAGTAAAAAGGAAAGGTAAAATCAAAACCTGGTTTCCATTAGCATCTCCAAAAGCAATACTTATCTCATCGCTATTAAACTTGGGAGAAGAACAGCTTGTTGTAATCATCACCAAATAAGAACAGTTTTGAGCACCTTTCATCTATCAAACAAACATAAAAACAAAAACAAAACATTGTTCTTCACATCACATAATAAACTTAACAAAAAAAATTAATATTATTTATTTATTACAACAACAAAAAAACTGATTAAAAGTACCTGGATATAACCAACATCAAAGGAATCTAAAGCACGAGGTTGCAAAGAAACATCATAGGACTCAGAAACTGAAAGGGTAAGTGTAGAGACAAAGAAAAACAAAACAAGAACCATTTTCATCATTTGTCTTGGGAAAAATCTTGAGAAAAAAAGTGGGGTAGGTTTTGAAAATAGGGTCAAGAACTACTACTTGTAATGTTGTGGAAGTAGCAAAATCACTATGTAGGATATTTATATGGTTCACGAAATAAGGGTTGGTTTAGAAAAATAATAAATATCTAAGGATGGAAAAAAGGGTAAATGTGATGTAACTTGTCCTTGTTTAGTTTTCTATGCTATTAATATTTTACTTGTTTTACATTTCCGTGTGGTGCACGAGTTTCATTATTAAATTGAGTTTGTTGAAATAGGAGAAACACTAATTGTGATGAAAACTTATGTGTTTTTTCTTTTGTGGCATCTAGGTTCAAGAAAAAAATTGTCTACAACAATATTCTCATCGAGGGCCAACACTTACTAAGCCCAATGAGACTATTAGGCTTTATATTTTAGCAATTTATTTTCAAGGTTTTTTATTTCACTCAATATGTTTCTACCGCACCGTACGAAATTTCATTAATGTTTTATATTTTCGAAGATATATTTCCTAACACATTTTATAAAGACTCAACAAAGATCATTCTCAGAGGTGTCCTATAAATTGGATTTAATTTATTCTAGAGATGCATCTCTGAAATTGTAATGTAGTTACATTTCTGGAAAAACACCGGAAATAGATTCAATAGAAAATGAACTTTCCAAAATGTAATTGACATTCATAACATATAATGATCATTACAATGATGATTTCAACAAAAAATTAAATATTATATTTTAATATTCCAGTGGACGCTTGCACATCTTCAGAATACATTCGACCGATCTTTGTAGCGTCACTTCCAACTTGAGCGAAAATTTCTATTCGAAACAGAAATATGCATCCCACATAGCCCTAACATCTGCTCGAGTCTTGAGCTCAAATTTGCTGAACACAATGTTCCCTTCATTGTCAATCGAAGGTGAACGCTACTCGAGCTTCACAATTCTTCGTTTGTCTCCGTAAGGTAGGAGACATTGGATTTTGTCTATGATATCTTCGAGGGCGTGAGATCGGTGAGCTTAAATTCCCTTCTGGGTGTAAAGTCTCCGAAGTAGGAGACATTACCGACATACCAATGGATGTTTATTTGTGACATCTGAGACATTTTGAGTTTGTGTGAAATATAACACAATAACACCTAAACTTATAGAAGACCTAGCTTAATATGGACCACTCATTAACTGTCATATTATTTCTAGATATACATCTTCGAAACTGCATCGTATTATCTTGTTCTAGAGATGTATCTTCGAAACTTCTCTTGAACCATTTCAAAAATAAGCTATATAACAGAACCTTCCAGATATGTATTTCCAGAACTTTTCCTGAAACATTTTCACAACAGAACCAAATAATAGAAACTTCATAAAGGCCAAATATGAACCAAATATGAATAAAAGGTGAAAATGTAACACTTCATTTATATTGAGATACAAATATATTCAATTATTTTTCCTGTTAAATAAGAAATTAAAACGAATCGAAACATGTGTCGCCGACTATATCTATAGGTGGTACCTGTAACACCCATTTTTAATTATTTGGTTTTCCCGTATTATTTGTTTTTCGGTGCTTTATGTGTGGAAATTGTCTGAGGAATAAAGTTCCATAATACTAGAAAATATGACTAATGATAATAATAATATGATGATTAATAGTGTTGATACTATTATTATTAATATTATTGTTATTATCGTTATATTTAAATATTATTGGAAGTGGTTTGGAAGTAAAGGAAAAATATTATTATTGAGTTTATAAAGAGATAAAAATGGAATTTTGGAATTAAGAGGATTTTGTGAATTAAAAGTAATAAGAGGATTATTGTTATTATTATGAGAATTATATATTATTTGGAATAAAAGAGAATAAGATGTGGCATAGTTGGAACTAAGGGTATTATTGGCAATTGAGGCTAAGGAAGAAAGAACACGGTTGAAGGAAAAACGCACGCACGGTTGTGAAGGAGCAAGAGTGAGCAAGGATTGAAGCTTGAGCAAGAGGATCAACAAGACTGCGGATTGTGAAGCTTCTTCATCATCAAATCAAATTTGAGGTAAGGGGGGGGGGGGGGGAATTTAACGGTTAAATGGTATTTTACATGAATGTTGGTAGAAGGGGAATCCCTAACCCCATGTATGAATAATTTGTATGTTGATGATGAATTGATGCTATTGCATGTTGTTGTTGCTGAGATTATTGTGTTAGATTATGTTAATTTCGTTGCATGTGCTGTAGGTTGATGTTTGAGTGAATTTGGAGCTTTCCGGGCAAATTTCGAAGTTGAGCCGGAAGTTGATTTTGAGAGCAGAGTTGATGATTAGTCGGACGGAATCAGGGATAGACCCCGTAACTAAGTTGTAGTATGTGATTGGTGTTGGGTTTCACATTAATCGGGCGAAATCGGTGTGGGAGGTGACTCTGCGCCGCAGAAATTTTTCTGAGTACGCAGGTATTCGCTGGGCGAATGAGGGGCGAGCCTTCGCCAGGCTTCGCCGGGTGAACTAGCCAGCGAGTGCTGGCAAAAGCTTCTGCCTGGCTTCGCTAGAGGTTTCGCCAGGCGAATGGCAGCGAGCCTTCGCTGCGGGGCTTCGCCGGGCGAACGCGCCAGCGAGCCCGACAGCAGCTTGTGTTTTTGCTGCTGTTTTGTATTGTTTCCTTGTGGTTTTGGACCCTTGTTGGTCATGTATGATGAGGAGCTGCTGGAGAGCTGAGGTAGTGTATGTGTGGCGTCGGGACGTGACGACTGTGGTACTCGTGGGATCATGATATGTGGATTGGGGTATGTTATAATACCTATATGTTGTGTAGTGCAGGATGTGAACTCCTTGATATTCACTTAATTCGAGAGATTGTGTCAGTGTATGTTAAGATACATGTATGTGGTGATATAAGGATGCTGAGTGCGATCGAATTGATGTGCTGTGATGATAGCTGGGTGCTGAGAGTATGTTGAAGGTTGTAGGGCTGTGTGGCCGGCGTTTATCGCATTTGACATAATCGGCGGATTATGTGTTAAGTCTAGATAAGTATGGATGTGTATGGATGTGTAAGGATGTGTATGTGATATGTATGCACTATGTGCTATGTGTGGTGATGAGTGGATCCGTAGGATCGATACACTTGTTATGTGTTATGTTTGTATGTTGTGAGATGGATGTGGATCTGTAAGATCGATACGCTTATTATGCGTTGCATTTGTGTGCTGTTATGTGATGTATTGGGTCAGTAGGACCGACATGCCTTGTGTGCATTGTATGTGATAAGTTGTGTGGTGAGCGAATCCATAGGATCGACGCACTGTGTGTGCTTGTTATGTATGTATTTTATGATGTGAATGGATCTGTGAGATCGGTACGCCTTGTGCGTCGTGTATATGTTGTGTGAGGGGTGGATCAATAAGATCGGTGTGCACTTGGTGTGCTAGATGTTTGATGCGTGTGAATATCGTCGTGTGCTCCCGTAGTGGAGGGTGATGGCCAGTTGTCCATTGATATTAATTGTTGGTGTGCTCCCGTAGTGGAGGGTGATGGCCCAGTGACCATCGGTATTGTTGGTGTGCTCCCGGTGAGGAGGATGATGGCCATGTGTCCATCGATGTTAATGTGTTGTGCTCCCGGTGAGGAGGGTGATGGCCATGTGTCCATCGATGTTGATGAGGTGCTCCCGTAGTGGAGGGTGATGGCCAGGTGTCCATCGGAGATGTGCTCCCGTTATGGAGGGTGATGGCCAGGTGTCCATCGGTATTGTTGTGGTGCTCCCGTTATGGAGGGTTGATGGCCAGTTGCCCATCAGTGTGGTGTGCTTCCTTAGTGGAGGGTTGATGGCCAAGTGTCCGTCGTTGATATGTGCTCCTCTGTGGAGGGTTGATGGCCAGTTGCCCATCGTGATTGTGAGTCGGTACCGTATGTTAAGAGTTGTGTGAGTGCATTTGTTGCGTGATTGTATATTGTGGTTAATGGTGGGACCTTGAGTCCGGATGAAATGTATATGAAATAATATTATTATTGATTTCCGCCTTTCATTTCATGTACTATTATACCATTATTATTTGATCGTGATTCTCACCCCTTTGATGTTGTTGTGGTCTGTGCTTCTTTGGAAGTACAGACAATCCAGGTGTTTAGCTAGCTTGGAGTGTGGTGTCTCTGTAAGACTGCTCTGATACGTAACATCGGGGCCTTTATGGGAGTTTTATTGCTTTATGTTGATTTTGTGTGCCCCTGTGGGGTATCCTGTTTGATGGTGATTGTAGATGATGCTATATGTATTTTGGGCAGATGGGCATTGCTGTATATATATATATATATATATATATATATATATATATATATATATATATATATATATATATATATATATATATATATATATATATATATATATATATATATATATATATATATATATATATATATATATATATATATATATATATATATATATATATATATATATATATATATATATATATATATATATATATATATATATATATATATATATATATATATATATATATATATATATATATATATATATATATATATATATATATATATATATATATATATATATATATATATATATATATATATATATATATATATATATATATATATATATATATAATGTTTTGTGATTTATGACAGACGATGTATATATTTTCCGCTGCAGTTTTATTGAGAAATTAATTTGGAAAAATGTTTTGTGGAATTTTAGTGTGAATTGTGACATCCCGTTGTGGGAGATACTCTGGTGTGTGCTTATTTAATTGTTTTATTGTATTTTGGGAATATATATATATATATATATATATATATATATATATATATATATATATATATATATATATATATATATATATATATATATATATATATATATATATATATATATATATATATATATATATATATATATATATATATATATATATATATATATATATATATATATATATATATATATATATATATATATA